AAATGGAGTGTTGTTTATTGTTGGTGCCATTTGCTTGAGTTCTTATCCCAGCTTTGTCATTTTCTATCTGCATGATTTGGGGTGTGTTACTAAAATTCTTTTCCCCTCAGTTTCCTCACCTGGATCTGTTTCATAGGATCGTGATGGAGATGAAAGAAGTGCTTTGAATAGTAACTGGCAACAGTGAAAACTCAGCAAATGTGATCCACTGGAATCATCTTGGCCCAGTTTACCCTGAGCACTTAGCTCAATGTTTAAAATATAGTAGGTCTTGAATGCATGCATTAGTAGACGGATGAAGACTGTTATTCTGTGACTCAGCCACTGTGGTTGATTCCTAGCAGCTGAGCATCATTTGGGCCCTATTCGACATCCTTCCCTGTATATTGGGGGAAGAACCTCAAGTATACATTTTTTGGAATCCTTTTCTAGTGAGGTTATGTATTTGATTTTGCCAATGAAAGTTGTTTGCCCAAGATTTGAAAAGGAAAGAGAAAGAAAATAATTATTCATTTAGGGGCAGCTGGGGAGAGGGGTGTGGACTCTGGCAGAAGACACCTGGACTGTTTTTGCAGCCACATCTGGGCAATCTCCTAGGAAACATACGCTTTGCTGCTACATGAATCTGAGCCCTTCAGTGGCAACTTGGATTTCTGATTTCTGCATTGGTGGATTTCTTCAAAGCAGCAGTAGTTTCCCTGCGTGAAAAGAAAATAAAAACTTGGGACCCCAATTCGCTATGCCACAAGGAAAAGAGTGAAACTGAAAGCTGGGTCAAGCAAGACACAGACTTTCCTTTTGTTTCTAAGCAGATAGCTACAGATAAAAGGTTAAATATCCCTATGGGTAGCTACTCCATGTAAAGCGCCAATTCATTGAGTGCCAAATGAATAGACATTTGAGTATTCCCCTATCTGCTCCTTTTCTCTTGCAGCACGTGAATTTAGTGGTATAACCATACTCTCCCTTTTCCCTCTCCAGCCTGCTTTTCCCCTTTAAATACTGAAGTCTTCAAAATTATTTTCGAAGAAGGCTAAGACCTATCTCCCAGGTATGTCCTCAATTTTGGCAAAATTAACTAAATTGATTTTGGCCTGTCTCAGATCCCTTTTGGTTTACACCTGTCTTCATGGTTGTGGCAGTCCTGACACTAGGGTGAGAATCTAATCCGCTGAATTAGATCCTTTCCATCTTAAAATACCTAGAGGGATCTGTTTTTTTGGATTAAACCCAATTGTTATGGGATGAATTGTGTCCTCTCCTCAAAATTCATGTCAAAGCCCCTAACACCCACTACTTCAGAATGTGACTGCATTTGGAGATAGGGGTCTTCAAAAAGGTGATTAAGTTAAATGAGGCCATTAAGATTAACCATAATTCAATATAATTGGCATCCTTATAAAATGCAGAAAATGGACATACAGAGAGACATAAGTGATGTGGGTACACGTAGAAAAGTCCATGTGAGGACAGTGAGGTAGTCATCTGCAAGCCAAAGAGAGTGACCTAAGGAAAAAAAATATTCTGCCCGTATTTCAATCTTAGACTTTTAGCTTCCAGGACTGTGAGAAAATGATTTTCTGTTGATTAAATCATCTGGTTTGTGAGATTTTGTTATGGCAGCCCTAGGAAACTACTACATTAATCTGGACACAAACTGAAATGTTAGAACAATAGACTTAATTGTCCCCCTGACTCTGTAGGGGGAGAGGGTAGGTTATGGTATTTCTCTAAGCCTCTAAAGTATCACCTATTTGTGAGTCACTTGAAAAATTCACACAAGGCACCTTTCATCCAGAAGTTGCTGCTATACTAGTGCCATGTAAATTCTGTAGCACAGCCTAGATGAAGGCTGAGTTCTGATCAACACCCAGGAAAAACTGGTACAATGTGTATTTTTTTGCAGATTCAATTATAATTCATTCATAATTGTTTCTTCACATCACAAAGACAGCTGGGGCATCCATAGCCACCTCCTGTCAAGCTGAGGCCCTGCCTGCAATGGTCTCTATCCAATTCTGTAGTCAGTTTTGACAGACAAGGGGAAAAGAAAAACAAAGAAACCCTCAAAATAGCGAGTGGGGGTGGGGAGAAAAAGGAATGGAAACCAGAACTGAGTTATAAGGGCCAGTGATGGTTTATACTGAGTGTCAACTTGATTGTAGGATGCAAAATATTGATCCTGGGTGTGTCTGTGAGGATGTTGCCAAAGGAGATTAACATTTGAGTCAGTGGGCTGGGAAGGCAGACCCACCCTTAATCTTCTGGGGACCATCTAATCAGCTGCCAGCACAGCCAGTATATAAAGCAGGCAGAAAAATGTGAAAAGACTAGACTGGCTTAGCTTCCCAGCTTTCATCTTTCTCCCACACTGGATGCTTCCCACCCTCGAACATGGGACTCTACGTTCTTTAGCTTTGGGACTCGGAGTGGCTTCCTGACTCCTCAGCTTGCAGATGGCCTATAGTGGGACCTTGGGATCATGTGAGTTAATAATCCTTAAGAAATTCCTTTATATATATATGTGTGTGTGT